AATGGCCAGCCCGTCCAGCGAACAGCTTGCGTCGAGACGCGATGCTCGGCGCCACCGTTACCATTAGCCAGGCCACGTACGTCGCTGTGCCGAACGGCTGACCGTGGAGACGCCTCGCCGAGATCCGCGATGCCCTCGGCAAAGAAGAGAACAGCAGGCCAGGCCACGCCCCGAGATGCAGTACTCGTACCGGCGATGCCGCCCCAGCTGGTGGTTGGACGGCAGCAGCGTGGACGGCCGCGTTCCCTGGCCGGAACCTGGATCGCCTGCGTCCGACGCTTCGGCCCGCTGTCTTCCGTCTGCCGCTGCTCCGGCTCGTCCCCAGCCACAAAGCTTACCGCCACGTAATCGTCACACGTGGCCCAATCGTGGCACGCCACGTCTATGGGCCACCACAGGTTGTTGTTGTTGTTGTTCTCCTATTGTTAGTGGCGCATACCCACTGTGGTGGATTGGCCAAGAATCGAGTGGCTTTAAAATTAACTGTTCAGATTTAGAATGATGGAGGTATAACAGAAAGATTACCGATAGCCTATAGGCAAGTGTGGTGCTTAATGTAATGCATACAAATATTTACATAAACAAATTTATTCTTAGAATAGACCAATAATCTGATTTTACACGTATATAATAATGTGGACATGTTAAGATAATAAAACTGGTTAATTAGTCAACCTATTAGTTTCATCAATATAGTCCCGGACGGCCGCGCATACTGTGCCATTAGAGAAACCAGAAATGGAAGCTCCAAAAGACAAAATGACAGGCAGAGATAAGTCCATACCAATGCCACGCAAAGGTATTTCTAATAGGGTTTTTCGTAATGTGTTAAACCGCCTGCAGGTCAAAAAGAAATGGTCTATTGTTTCCAGTTCATCACAGAATGCGCACAGTGGCGAAGGTGCCTGAGCAGACCTGAGTTTATAGAAATTTAGATTTCGTACCCGGCAACGCAGCCTTGTGATAGCTACTTCTTGTTTTCGAGTGCGGCAAAAGTCTCTTCGCCATGGATATAATAAATGGCGATATTCTGTAGAGTTTGTTAGTGCTGAACCTTTAAAGACTTGCATAAGCGTACGTCTGCGGAATCGAGCAGTGGTCACATAAGCGGATGATGGACAGAGCGGTAGAATTGGTTCGCTGATTGACGACTTAGCTAAGGAATCGGCTATTTCGTTCAGAAACAAACCTTTATGTCCAGGCACCCAAACTAATCGCACTTTTCTCAAATGCACAGGTACTAGTGCACGGAACGCCCTTGTTACGTGATTATCAGCACCAACAGAAAGTGCTGCACAGAGATATAGGGAATCTGTTATTATGACAGCTGATGTAATTGCTGTATCTAGCTTGCGTAAGGCGAGCACTACTGCCAGAAACTCAGCCACAAAAACGGGTATGAAATCGGGTAGTCGAAGGGAATAAATCCAATTTAAAATCGGGCTGAAAATACCAACCCCTGACTTTTCGTCGTATTGCGATGCGTCTGTAGCAATAATAACGTTCATTGTAATACGGCGCAGGTGATCTTGTAGTAAACCATCCAAAATATTATGGGGAAGTAATTTGGCATTATTAGGAAAAATGTCGTCGAATTGAATTTCCACCGGGGCTGAATTTTAACGACTCGGCATGGTGTCGCATATACGTAAGTTTAGAGGCTCCAGTAAATTTTGCACAAATATAATTTGTGGCGTGTGAAATCGCGGCCATATAGCAGCAAAAAATGATTCCGGGGTGGAAATAAAGGCTGTTTCTGAATGTCGTAATGGTGATTCATAAATTCTTAAGAATGTCTGAACAGTCAGAAGGCAAATTCTACAATAAAGCGGAGGGACCCTCGATTCGAGACACAACACATTGTTGGCGACTGTTTTGGGAAGGCCAAGGCATAAGCGCAAAGCTTCTCTTTCCAGAAGAATTAGAGGCCGCAACTTGTAAGCTGGAACTTCAGAGAAAAGCACACAACCAAATTCCAAAATGGGACGAACATACATGCGATATATCATTATTAATGTGTCTCTTCTCATACCTGTGCGGTAGTTGCTTAGCCTACGTAATATGCCAATGGCCCGCACACCTTTTCCGGCGATATATTCGATATGAGATTGCCAGTTAAGCGATGTGTGATAAATTACTCCAAGGTATTTAACAGATTCCACCTGTGGTATATCCTCATGATGGTAAGACAGAGAGATGTTCACAGGGTATTGCAGCGGGAAAACAAGGAGGGCAAATTTACTCGGATTAAGTAAAAAGCTGTTGCCGTCGAGCCAGCTCTCCAATATATTAAGGTAAGTCTGCAGCCGTTCATATAAGGTCTGAATGTTATCTGCCATTGCAAAAAAATGCGATATCGTCTGCATAAACATAAGTTGTTATATCCTGTTTACGTGGGATGGTGCCCATTAGTAAATTAACTAGCACCGGGGAAAGCACCGAACCTTGCGGTACTCCCCTCGTTTGGGTATTAGTAGATGATGAAAACCCATCTTTAAAACAATAAAATTTCCTGTCTGCGAGAAAATTGTGAACCCACGCTACTATGTATGATGGAAAATCAAGGTATTCTAATCGATCTATCAAAATACAGTGCTCCACGGTATCATATGCTTTAGCGATGTCTAAGGTAACTAAAGCAGCATATTTTTTATGTAGCCGAGCTAATTGAAGCCTACTTTCTAAGTCAACGTGGGCATCCCGAATTGAACAACCAGCCTTGAACCCAATTTGACAGGGACTTAGAATAGACCTCATGTTAATAAGTTCATTAATTCGTATATTGATGATTCTCTCAACCAATTTCACTAAGTTTGATGTCAGTGCGATCGGCCTTATGTTATCCAACGTGTATGCATCATTTTCATTTTTTAGCAACAATACAATTTTGGCAAGTTTCCATTCTGTAGGTTTCCTTGCATTCCCTAAAGAATAATTCACTAGTTCTAGCAAAAGATTAGGCGATTCCTGGAGTAATCATTTCAACATAGAGTTCGTAATCCCATCTGGTCCGGGAGCCGTCCTCGGTAAGCATAATACTGTCTGATTCAATTCAGCTAAAGAAACTTCTGGAAATTCATGCAAGTTTACGAGAACGGACTGAATAGCCGAAAAATTCGCAGTGAAGCGGCGTTCTAAACCTTGCGCTATGTCTTCTAAAGAGGTGTTCATTTCTACTGGCGTCAAGACACATGACTGCAACGTTAAAGGTGCTGGTAGTACTTTTCTTGTCCGAAGATAAACGAACAAAGCACGCTTATTTTTTTATTTAGAAAGATAATCAAAATGTCTACTCTCGTATTCTTCTTTCGCGCGGTTCACTGTACGCTTAAATACGCCAGCAAGGAATTGATAGTCTTTCCAGTTTGTTGGGCTCTGATTAAGAAGCAGTTTTTTCCAAGCGGCTTTTCGTCTTCTATAATCGCACGTACACTCATCGTTCCACCAACGAGAGGAGGATCGTTTATTGGATGGAATAGAAAATTCATAATTTTTTCTAGATCCCTCCAGCATTGAACCAATCGTAGATGCAATCTCCTTAGTACTGGCATTTCCAAGCTTGGAAATGGCAGAACGGAGGCAGGCTTGAAATTTGCTATGGTTGATGTATGTGCGTTTTGGCTGATCTAAAGTTATTGTTGGACAAGTAATGTCAAAAACTACAGTAAGATGGTCACTGTTAGTTGCCGAATCCAGAACAGCCCATGACAAAATCTTGATTGCATTGGAGCAAAACGTTAAATCCAATACCGAGCTAGTTTGACCTCGGACAAATGTTACATGACCTTTATTCAGACAGGAAAGGTTGTGATCAATAGTCCATTCCCACAGTCGCCTACCACAAGAATCTGTCCTTATACCCCAAGACAAATGGTGTGAATTGAAGTCTCCTGTGAGTACAATTTCCTTTCTACATGCTACCAAAACGCTGTCAAGATAACGCGTGCTTTGCACACCGGAGGGGACGTAACAATTTACGATTGAAAAAGGGTGGTATCCGGGGAGACACAAGTCTAATGCTAATAATTCACAATCCAAGTCTAACATTCTGAAAGAAATTTTCGCCCTATGGCATAATTTACTTGATACAAGGATCATTAAACCACCACCACGTGATGGGCGATCTAATCGAAAAGAACGAAAACCTGCAAGATGGAAATTTTTATCTGGTGTAAGCCAAGTTTCTTGGAGAATTATAATATCAAGATAAAAATTATTGCAAAAGTAATGTAAGTCGGTTGAGGCTGAGAATATAGACTGGAAACTGGAAAGACTATCAATTCCTTGCTGGCGTATTTAAGCGTACAGTGAACCGCGCGAAAGAAGAATACGAGAGTAGACATTTTGATTATGGGGATTTGCGGCCGTGTACTCGATGTTAACGGTGGCTGTTTGCCTTGTGTAGGTGGACCACGCAACTGCTGTACAACGCCGAGCCCAGCTATCGTTGAAGGACGCTTGATCTGCGCATGCTGCACCAGTTCTTCTGATTGCGAGCAAATAGCGGATCACCAATCTAGAGGCCTTGGATCTGGGCCTGTCATCTGAAAATATCGCGCGTGCGTTCTCCCCTTCGCACTGCGCTGTCAACGGCATCGACAAGTGCGGCACCCCGTGGTCCTGGTTACCTACAGTAGCTGCGGCGACGACGGACTTGCGGGATTTGCGGCCGTGTACTCGATGTTAACGGTGGCTGTTTACCTTGTGTAGGTGGACCACGCAACTGCTGTACAACGCCGAGCCCAGCTATCGTTGAAAGACGCTTGATCTGCGCATGCTGCACCAGTTCTTCTGATTGCGAGCAAATAGCGGATCACCAATCTAGAGGCCTTGGATCTGGGCCTGTCATCTGAAAATATCGCGCGTGCGTTCTCCCCTTCGCACTGCGCTGTCAACGGCATCGACAAGTGCGGCACCCGTGGTCCATGGTTACCTACAAGTAGCTGCGGCGACGACGGACTTGCGGGATTTGCGGCCGTGTACTCGATGTAACGGTGGCTGTTTACCTTGTGTAGGTGGACCACGCAACTGCTGTACAACGCCGAGCCCAGCTATCGTTGAAAGACGCTTGATCTGCGCATGCTGCACCAGTTCTTCTGATTGCGAGCAAATAGCGGATCACCAATCTAGAGGCCTTGGATCTGGGCCTGTCATCTGAAAATATCGCGCGTGCGTTCTCCCCTTCGCACTGCGCTGTCAACGGCATCGACAAGTGCGGCACCCCGTGGTCCATGGTTACCTACAAGTAGCTGCGGCGACGACGGACTTGCGGGATTTGCGGCCGTGTACTCGATGTTAACGGTGGCTGTTTACCTTGTGTAGGTGGACCACGCAACTGCTGTACAACGCCGAGCCCAGCTATCGTTGAAAGACGCTTGATCTGCGCATGCTGCACCAGTTCTTCTGATTGCGAGCAAATAGCGGATCACCAATCTAGAGGCCTTGGATCTGGGCCTGTCATCTGAAAATATCGCGCGTGCGTTCTCCCCTTCGCACTGCGCTGTCAACGGCATCGACAAGTGCGGCACCCCGTGGTCCATGGTTACCTACAAGTAGCTGCGGCGACGACGGACTTGCGGGATTTGCGGCCGTGTACTCGATGTTAACGGTGGCTGTTTACCTTGTGTAGGTAAGTGTGTAGCACCTTTTTTCACCTCGATTATTACCATTGTCACTGGCTGCAAATCCCAACTTTCTATTATTTCTTGTTTGCTATGGGTGTTGATGTGTGTACGTATCGCGCGCGCATAGGACGCTTCCTTGCGCGCCACATACAACTCAAACAGCAATTCGCTGTCTGGCTCCGTTCAACGGCGTTTTTTGGTTACTGGAGACCAGGATGCCGTCTACTTGTAGTTTTGTTCAGTGTTGCACACATACTGCTTTGCGCTGGTGACATCGAAACAAATCCAGGGCCTGACAAAGTAGAGCAGCTATTAGTTTTGGTGAAAGATATAGGACAGACAATTGACAAATTCCAGAAAGAAACTTCAAGCAAGTTGAAGGACCTTCAAACGACTATTACAGATACAAAACGGCGACTTTCGAAAATAGAAGAGCGACTTGACGTTATAGACGTCTTACGTAAAGACGTTACAAGCGTGAACGAGGTCCTACAAGAATCACACGCCCAGCTGAAAAGCCTTGAAACGAAACAGACAGAGCAAGCAGATTTACTGGTCGACGATCTGAATAACAGAATGCGAAGGAATAACCTAGTCTTCAAAGGTATTCGGAGCAGACAGCAGAAAAATGGAAGGACACAGAAAAAATAGTATCTGAATTTGTCACACAGCATCTTGGAATTCAATCGGGTGAAATAGAACGTGCCCACAGAGTAGGGCGAGTCACAGATGATCGAGTTCGGCCGATTGTAGTGAAATTTTTGAACTTCAAAGATAAGAGTAGCATTCTAAGAAACGCCTACAAGCTACAGAAATCTTCCCCTCGAGTCTGGGTAGAGGAGGATTTCTCGCCAAGGATACAGATGATAAGAAAGAAACTTCGCGATTTCGTAAAGGTAGAACGAAAGCCTGGCGAAAAGTATAAGCTGCTCTTTGATAAGGTTCTCCTGGGAAATAGATTGTACGGATTAGGGAATACTAATGACAGCACAATTGTTCAAATACCAAGGCACGAACCACGTGTAAACACGGCTTGACGCAGGAATCGTTGTGCGCATACCTTATCTCTCGTTGTATGTAATTTTCGCAGCATCTTGAACAAACAAGATCAACTTGCCACAATCGTTGAATGCTGCACTGCGGATCTAGTTCTCGGTACGGAGACGTGGTTAAATGCTGATGTATCGAACGGCGAACTCGCTCTGTCTGCTGATTTCAATATTTTCAGAAAGGACAGGTCATACCAGCGGGGTGGCGGCGTAATGATTGCCGTAAAAAGTCATTTTAAGGCGCAACTATTAGACACAGACGCACACTTAGAAATTTTGTGGATTGTACTGCAACTGTCAGCAGGTGAAACTTGTATTGTCGGGGTATGCTATCGTCCGCCAGACGCTTCTATCGAGTTTGTCGATAATTTGAATGACTCACTTAGTTTTGTTCAATGCAAACATCCAACATCACCAATAATATTAGCCGGTGATTTTAATTATCCGGGAATAGACTGGCGGACATGCACACCTACGGGTGGTACAAGAAGAAATGAATGTATTGATTTCCTTGATACACTTTCATTATTTAACATGACTCAAATGGTCTCTGTCCCTACACGCGGAAGTTCTGTTCTTGATTTAGTGCTCACTACTGAACCTGAGAATATGCGCGTCCACGTACTAGATTGTATTAGTGACCACAATGTTCTACACTGCGAGGCCATGATAAAAGTGGTAAAACCAGAAAAACAGATGAAAGTATTGTACGACTACAAACGAGCTGACGTACTGAACATTCTGTCCGACCTGTCGTCTTTCTCTGATCACTTTCTCACCAGCCTCCATTCTCGTGACACGAATGAAAACTGGCGAATCGTTCACGAGAAACTCATGCAACTAAAAAACCAATACATTCCTACAATTACAATCACATCTTCGACTCACAACTCATGGTTCACCTCGCATGTCAAGCGGTGCATCAACAAAAAAAAGCGCTTGTATTCTAAGGCAAGATTCTCGGGCACCGATGCTGCATGGGAAGAGTACAGAAACTATGCAAAGATATGCGACAGAGAAATAAAAACAGCTAAAGACAAATTTTTTAATGAGGATCTACCTGCGCTGCTAACAAACTATACTAAAAAATTTTGGAAAGTGGTAAATCCTAGGAAATGTTCGGGACAGCCAATTCATCTAACTAAAGACGATAAACTGTTGTCACCGTCAGAGGCTGCAGAAGAACTGAACTTATTCTTTGGATCTGTTTACACTGAAGAGGAGCCCATTTCGGCCGATTTAAAATTTGACTCCATTAACGCCACAATGAATGACATCGTGATCACTCCGGAAGGTATCGAATCGGCTATTGAACGTCTTGCAAACAATTCATCCCCTGGACCAGATGGTATATGCCCGAAGTTACTTAAAATTACTAAGCCAGTCATATCCCGTATTTTTGTAGCTTTATTTCAGCAGTCAATTGACACTGGATGTGTGCCTGACACATGGAAAATCGCTCGCGTGACGCCGATATTTAAATCCGGTGATTCATCGATGCCATCTAATTACAGGCCCATTTCACTCACCAGCATACCCTGCAAATTATTAGAACACATCATATCATCTGCAGTAATGACGTACTTAACCGAGCAAAATTACTTTATTCCTAACCAACATGGTTTCCAGCGCGGGCGTTCATGCGAAACACAATTATTCGAATTAGTTACTGACCTCCATTATGCCGTTCATGCGTCTACAATAATTGATGCCGTATTTATCGACCTTGCCAAAGCATTTGACAAAGTTCCCCACAGTCGTCTATTAATGAAGCTAGACTGCCTTAAGATAAACCGAAACGTTACCACTTGGATAAATAACTTTTTGTGTAATCGTTATCAATTCGTGACTGTAAATGATTGTTCATCTACATTGATTCAAGTTAAATCCGGGGTACCCCAAGGCTCTGTACTTGGACCGATACTGTTTCTCATCTACATTAACGACATTTCTAAAAATCTGGCATCTACTACTCGCTTATTTGCCGACGACTGTGTGATTTATAGAAAGATTACTAACCCAAACGACCACACTGCTTTACAAAAAGACCTTGATAGCATCGCTACTTGGTGCGATCAATGGCAAATGAAAATTAACGCTTCCAAAACAAAAGTTATAACTTTTACGAATACTACCCAGCCCCCGATCAATTCCTATCTCATTAATGCAATGCCAATAGAACACGTTTCATCAATAAAGTACTTAGGCGTCCATCTTTCCGCCGACCTGTCATGGAATGCCCACATTGACGCAATAACATCTAAAGCATCTAAAACACTTGGATTCATTAGACGCCACTTACATCAAGCTAACTGGAAGACAAAACTTACAGCATACACCTCCCTTGTTCGGTCTAAAATAGAATATGCTTCATTCATTTGGAACCCACATCAAATTTACTTAATTAACAAACTTGAATCCATGCAAAATAAAGCTGCCCGATTCATAACCAGAAACTACTTGCGTCATTCGAGCATCACTAATATCAAAGCATCACTGAGCCTCCCATTACTAGAGAAAAGAAGAGTGCTGGCCCTGCTATCCCATTTTCACAAACTTTATCATAATCATTCGTCATTTGCTACCACTTACATATTGCCTGCCCATCACTATTTTCCGCGCCTAGATCACCCCTTCAAAGTTTTAGTTCCATATGCGCGTACAAACATCTTCTATAACTCGCCTCTGTTGTGCGCACTCCGTCTTTGGAATGACTTACCACATGATGTTGTGTCTGTAAGAAACTTCGACGCCTTTGTAGAAATGTTAAAAAGCTCACCTAATATTGTATGAAAAAAAAAAAAAAAAAAAAAAAACGATAGTGTTTCATTGTTATTTGCTGTGCTTTAGTGGTGTTACCAACTGTTTATTTGTTCAAATGTAACCAAACCCTCATCCCGTTTACTGTAACCCCCCCCCCCCTATGTAATGCCCGGCAAGGGCCTTTAGGGTATGTGAATAAAAAAAAAAAAAAAAAAAAAAAAAAAAAAAAAATAGAACGGCAGTTCCACTGTAGTACCCTCAACTGACCTATGGTGTTGAGCGCACCGCAGAGGCGTATGTCGCGCCCTCGTTAGCATCTTCACGCGAAATGGCTGATTCATTCCGTTTAGATTTGGACTTGAGATCGGTGAAGATAGGGGATCTGGTACGTTTATTAGATCGTATATCGACTTCCATATCTGTATCAGTACTTGTACTCGGCCGAGGCGAATGTCGGTCCAAGTTCACCTGTGTTTCTGGCTGCTTAGCCTTGCCTGCAGATGCAGAAAGTTCGTCCATCACCACATTGCGTAGCTGTGTGGCGTCACTGGTAATGTGTAATACTGCAGGTTCTGTACTAGTCTGTACTGTTTGTCCAATCTGGCTTGAAAGAATTTGCACTAAACAGTCGGAAAGGTTAGATATTACCTTACCGGTCGCACACAATTTGTTGATTTCAATGGACAAGTATCCACAACAGTTCCCGTCAAATCCGGTGTTCCCCAGGGTTGTGTTCTTGCTCCGACCTTATTCCTAATTTTTATCAATGACCTACCCTGTCAAATTCCCGTCCACGTCAGACTTTTCGCGGATGATTGTATAATTTATCATGAAATAAACTCTGCAGAAGATCATCTTGCCTTAAACAAAGCCCTCGAAATAGTATCAAACTGGTGTTCAGATTGGCAAATGATACTTAATGTTAAAAATCAGCTATAATGACAGTAACAAGAAAAAGGGAATGGTCAGAGTTCTCATATACCATCAATAGTATCCCACTTCCTAGAACAAGTCATCATAAGTACCTTGGCCTCACCTTTACTAGCGATCTGAGATGGGATGCCCACGTTTCTAACGTTACAGTTACCGCACTGAAACGACTTTTTTTTCTGAGACGATGCCTTCGACTAGCACCTTCTGAAATTAAACTGTTAGCCTACAACACGTACGTGAGATCTCTTCTTGATTATGCGAACATTGTTTGGTTCCCGTACACAAAAAAAACATATTGCGAAGCTAGAAGGCGTGCAAAGAAAAGCTGTTCGATTTATTTTTAACAAGTTTAGGCAAACAGACTCACCAACTGAAATGCTCGAAGAAGCGGGCATGCTAACGCTGCAAAAAAGAGCAAGACTAGCACGCCTACGATTCATGTACCAGCTACGCCATAAGCAAACCAACATCGATGCCTCCAGGTACATCACACTTCAACAATCACGACCCACCCGTAAGAAGCACCCCGAAATGCTACAAGAATACGCATTCCGTACGGAATGTTTCAAACACTCATTCTTCCCAGCATCAATAAGGGAATAGAACAGCTT